AGTTGAAAAGGTCAAAGACATCAAGATACTCGAGCTCGTTGGGGGCCGGGGTGTTTGTTCGGGTTGGGTGGTATGATTTGACGGCCGCAGCATGTGGCTGGCGGGAGATGAGAAAGTCGAGATCGTAGGCGCACCTGTTTCCATGAACTTAGCACGCATCCAATCACATGTCAGAACCACCTTACCGGCGCATGTCGGCCAGGATTTTCACCGTCGACGGAGTTACCCTCTCCCCTGTCACTCCACTGGCTCGCTGCGACTGTCGATATTCCCCTAGAACCCGGCTCAGGATTTCGCTGTATCGTTTGGCAACGAGCCAATTCTCCCCCATTTCGGCGAGCGTCGTCACGAAGAAGTCAATGTCTGGATCCACTTCGTGATCCATGGTCGACCCGTGCACCAGCATGACCCGTGCCCCGACCCAGATGGCAAAGGCAAATGGGGGCCCGAGACGGTCCAGCAGGCCACTGAGCTTGACGAAACGACAGAGCTGACGCAAATTCTCAACAGCGGATAAACACCGCTGCATAGCGCTGTAGGACGAAGAGAAGATTGGCGAAGTCTGGCTGGGATACGCCGCAGATGAGTTCAACCGAATGACCGTCAGACAATATGCTGCATGCAGCATGATCCAGCCACAATTTGTATTTTTAGCAGGCACGTTGGATTTTAGGAGGCGTGTGATGTTGGCGAATTCGTCAGGCAGACTGAAGTGCCACGCGTTTAGGTCGCTGTCGAGGGCTCGGTACGAGCCTTGCCACTGTTCCACGTCAGTCAAAGAGCCAATGTCCACGGGCCGTTTCAGAAACTGGTGGATGTGACCAAGAATAGCCATGAGCTCGCAGTGGTAAGAGAAATGTCCATGGGTGTCGGCGATTCCTGTCGCATATCTGGGGCGCTCCGGTGGCCGAAACCATCTTGTCTCGACCGGCTTGTTTGCAGCAAAGAGATCATCTCTGCAAGGCAGGCGCCGGTCAACCTCTTTCTCGTCCAGCGCGAACTCGAAAGCCGTGGCTATAGTGGCGTAGCGATCAAGCAGGTAAACTGCCCAGAACAGCCTGCGCCGCTCTTCATCTTCGATCCAAGACTTGGGCTCGGGCAGGACAGAAGCCCTGAGGGTTGCAATCGAAGGATACATTGGCGAGGCAAGCGCAGACCCCGATTCAACCGCAAGCCCCAGTTGCACCATGCTTCTACTGATCAAAGCAAGAAGATTCCACGCTGGCGGACCATTTGTCGTACCCGTCACATCCAGCGCCAGAATGACGAGTGCTTGCAGCGCTCGGACGTTTGAATTTTCTAGGCCAAACAACTGAACACGCTGCTTGGAGGTGTCATGATAGTGTTGACGGCCCTCGGGGGTCAATCGAGGGTCTTGCGAGAAACGTAGGGTGGTTGCAACGATGGCATGCAGAAGCACTCGGTCGGCTTCGTCGAGAGTCGAAGCTCCAAAGAGAGTGTCTAGAGTGGTCTTTCTATCCAGCAAAGGCAGCCATATATTGATGTGTTTGAAATAGAGATCCACCAAGGCATAAAGAAGGTCATATGGTGGAAGCATGGCCGAGTATTCATTGTACATGTGTGTGCCTTGAAATCCTGTGGTGGAATGCGGCGAAGTGAGGGCATGGGACTGAGCAGATGGAGTGTAATGGCTCTGCTGCGCCGCCGTCTGCTGGTCTGGAGCTCCTTGCTGATACTGTAGGGAACCATGTCGCGAGGTGGTAGCATGCAAGTTGGGGTCGATAATCTGTTGCTGAAGGTCACCAGTGACATCGATGGCTTGGGCATCATACGAAACCCGCGGCCGAGCGACGTCGGAACCTAAGCCTTGCACACTGTGTCTATTGCTGGCGGAGTTGACTCCAGCATCAATGATGCATGATTCTGCCAGATGGGCGGCCAATTGGCGACCTTGTTCTTTCAACAAAGCCTCTAGGCGATCGAGTCTTCCCTCTAGCTCCCTACCATAACCGGCTCGAAGGCCAGGCTTCTTCCGCTCTCTGTATTCACATGGATGATCATTCCGAGAACACCACCCACATGCAGGCTGAGCACGGTCGCATTTGACTTTTCGCTGCTACTCCACAAAATCAGTCCGACTTGATAGAGGATATCGGGAACTTAATCATACGGACCTTGCAGGCTTCACAGCTGTCAAACTCGGGCATTAGTGAAGATGCGCATAATTATGAAGATAAGATGAACAGGGGAACACGATGGAGCAACAGTGGAAATTGCCAGCACGTACGTGACGTTCATGGGCCTCTTGCGCTTTTTGGAGCCATCCCGATCGTCGTCTTCCCCCGACTCAGAGTCTGACGGGGTGTTGGACAACGGCCTCAGCGGGCCCAGAGAGCCTAAAGTGGTGGCCGACACGTGGACGTGGCCATTGCTTCCCGGATGATGGTCATAAAGCTCGAGCTTCGTCGTGTCCATGATCATCAGCTAGCAATTGCTGTTGGCCTTCTGTGTGCCCGTCAGGCGTGTTGGCACTGGTGGCATTGCCCCGTAAGCCGAGTTGTCGGTTGAGAAGAGGCCGAGAATGGAGAAAAAGGTTGAAGCAAAACAGAGAAAAGCTGGGGAAACAAAGTCAGCGAAAACATTGGGTCGGCGGGCCAAGTCTTACATCACTCCACCAGGAGGAGGTCACGAGAGCTTGGCATTGACTGTCAGACAAAAACACATCCATGGATATCGTCGATTTTCTGTGAGATTTCCCTGTGAGTGCGTTGACAGACAGAATCCAAAGCTACCACCAATTTACCCCGCCACGCCTGCTACACCGAAACTGCCTGCGCCCCTTGCTCACCTTCATCCATCTCTTTCTTTAGATATGCTCACGGATGCTGCTCCTCCGGCACCACTCGGCTAATAATGGAGACAATGCATTGAGAGATCCGCGATCTCGTGCCTTGAATCCTCTGTACCTCGCTCTCAGGGAAATCGCCGTTCCGCGCCCTGCATGCCTGTCTACCACCAGGCGAGTCCATCATTGCTCCGAACCCGGGTGAAGCTGTACCGATCAGCGAAACCCAAGTTCACCGGGTGAAATTTCGTGGTGCTATTTCGTTGTATTATTTGTGCATTTCAACCCCTCTAGGACAAATCATGGCGTATTTGTTTGCCGCCGTGGTTTCCTGTCCATTTCTCTCTTCAAAGGGCTTCCTATCTCCTCAGGACCATCTTCCTCCATAACTGAAATTCCCGAATCAAGCCCGAGAAATAAAGCCAAACAGCTTGAGACCTATCATGGCGGGCGTTAAGATGTTTCCTACGATCAGAGCCGTCCGGACATTCGTTATCGAGGGAGTGGGTTCTGGCGGCGACTATCACAATGTCAAAGGTGGACACTGGCTGATTGACAACAAAATTGCGACGCCCATGTCCAAATGGGATCGATACAGAAGCTCCCGAACCTCCTTTGGCATCAATGTCCTAGGTTCCTTCTGTGTCGAGATCGAAGCCACCGACGGCACCAAAGGCTTTGCCACGGGCTTTGGTGGACCGCCTGGCTGTTGGCTTGTCCAGCAACACTTTGAACGATTTCTGCTCGGACGAGATCCACGGGACGTGAACGATCTGTACGAACTCATGTACCGGGGTTCCCTGTTCTACGGGCGGAAGGGTCTACCAGTGGCCGTCATTTCTGTGATTGACCTTGCTTTGTGGGATCTTTTGGGCAAGATTAGGAACGAGCCGGTCTACAAAATGATCGGTGGCGCCACAAGAGACAGATTGAACTTTTATTGTACCGGTCCCGAGCCCGCAGCTGCACAAGAAATGGGTTTCATGGCGAGCAAGGTCCCTCTACCCTACAGCGCCGACGAACCAGATAGCATCAAAAAGAACATTGCGTTCTTGAAGAAGCATAGGGAAGCAGTCGGCCCTGACTTCCCTCTGAGAGTCGACTGCTGGATGTCGTTGAATGTGCCCTACACCATTGAGCTCGTGTCAGAGGCCAAGAGACAGGACATCAGAATAGATTGGTGGGAGGAAGTGTTGTCGCCAGATGACTTTGATGGCTTCCAACTATTGAAGCGGGCACATCCAGACACCAAGTTCACGACAGGAGTAAGTTTTCTTCGACCAAAAGCCCCTCATATTACCAGGACTAACTCGCTCCCAGGAACATGAATATTCACGCTATGGATTCCGCAAACTTATCGAGGGTCGCAATGTCGACATCATCCAGCCTGACGTGATGTGGCTTGGTGGCTTGACGGAACTTCTGAAGGTTTCTTCAATGGCGGCGGCATACGACATCCCGGTGGTCCCACACGCCTCTGGTCCCTACTCGTATCATTTCGTCGTCAGTCAGCACAATTCTCCTTTCCAAGAATATCTAGCCAACAGCCCCGATGGAAAAAGCGTTCTACCTGTCTTTGGCGATTTGTTCCTGAATGAGCCGATCCCCACAAAGGGTTACTTGGACGTAAGTGAATTGGACAAGCCCGGATTCGGGCTGGAGTTGAATCCCAATGCACGTCTGATCGATGCGACAAATCTCCTGGGCATGAAGCCGCAGAAGTCCCTAGCAATGCCTGTCGACACCGCTGGGGCCAAGGCCAATGGATCCCATGCGAACGGCGATCATCTCGCCACGCAAGCCAATGGATCAATGGTGGGAGACCATGTTGACTAAAAGAAATGATGGTTCTGGTGTGGCAAGTGTATCATTGACCGCAATAGACATTGAGGTTTCTGCACATCTCTTAAGAACTTTGCATGAATGGCATGGTATTCGACGGCGAATCTGCACGTGGCCGGCCGCTTTATGCAGGAATTAGGTGACCTAGCTTAACTTCGGGCTTAGCCTCTATACAAAAAGGTGCTTAGCCTACCCAGGCAGCCGGTGCTTATACAAGTAATTTTTACTCCCAGACTCCCCCCCTCCTGTGCCAGTTTCGGCAAAAGCGCCTCCTCTCCTCCACTCCTGACGATGGGGTTATATTGTCCCTGATACACACTTGACTTAACGAAGCCCCTTTTATCACAGATGTTTACGAATCTTTCCACCTCGTCGGCTGTGAAATTCGACAGGCCTTGGCCTTGCAGGCCTCGTTCAAAGCCTTGGCCGTCTCTTCGAAGGGCGTCGCGCGATCCGGGACGTGGAGGTACCCGACATTGACCTTTGGCTGTTTCAACGCCTCGATGGAGGAATCTAGACTCTCCAGAATCTCTTGTCTGGTGTGGCTGCCAGGCACGAAAGAGACAAACTTTGGTATCGATCAAGAACGCTCGCCTGCTTCGACGGTGGCCCAGCCTGGCCTCTGATGTGTCGGCCCCGTGGGGAGAGTGGTCGCGGGCCGTGTCCAGCTCGCGCCCGCCGTGGGCGTAGAATGCATCCAGGTATTCATTCACCTGTTCAGGGCGTGTCGTATCGGACGGTTGGGATCCCGCTGGGCATCCCCGCCCGACCTGATCATCGGTTGTTCAGTGGTGGTGGTGCTCCTCCTCATTCTTACGTTGCACTGTTCTGGCATACATACATTGGCTAGCCCAAGCAAAATCTTCAATGCCGGCCCCGTCGACATTTTTGTTGGCTTTTCCAAATCACCCACTCGGAGGAGAATCAGGGGAGGGGAAGAACAATCCAGTGGACACGTGGGAAAGGGCCCAGTATTGTTGAGTAGGAAACGAAGGAACATGTTGTTGCGGGTTCGTCAAAGGTCGCCAAGGGCCCATATAAGGAAGGCTCTCTGGGACGTGGTCATGATTGATCAGAGGATCAAGCCCTCATGAGTCAGTTGCCCAGTGTAGATCGGAAGCATTTCCCATATTACATCTTAACATCTCCGGATTCCCTCGACCGGCCGAACGCCCCTCCGCCGAAGAGGATACCCGTCCGCTTCGACCGCCGACTGTAATTTGGTCCTTTGATATACACCTTTTCTTTTTTCGTCATGTTCAGGAGCTTACAGATCAATCCCATCGGACTATAGCTGGCAGGGCAGCTCATCTTCTCTAGCCGGAAGTTGTCCCCCCCCAAACAAGGTCTGTACAAAAGGATATCTGTCCACTATACTTGGTCGCACTAATCATGGGTCTCACAGCAGTATATAGTCACGCCCAAATTGCCAGGCCCGCCCCTCCAGAACTGAGCTGCATGTTCCTGTTGTTAGTTTCCCCGTAAACAATGTCAAATCAAAAGGTCTTTCTGGTCGGTGCAACGGGAGAAGTAGGTAGACATGTCTTGAATGCTTTGATCGACCATGGCTCTTTCGTAAGTACTGGCGTCCGTCACCTGTCCATTTTGACTCGAGAATATTTGCATTCTCATGGGGTCACCGGGAAAGTGGTCTCGAGTCTAATGCACCGAAATTTTTTCAAACGCTGTTTAGGACATTACCTGCTTCATCCGCTCCTCGTCGGAAGGCAAACCCAGCACTAGACAGCTTCGTGGTCGGGGGGTCAAGGTTGCCATCGGTGATCTGAACGGTCCCCTGGAGGCTGTTATTGCGATGCTGGAGAACTGCGATACCGTCATCTCCTGCATGTCGCCGGCGGGTCTGAAAGATCAGATCCCGCTGGTCGATGCCGCCGTCCAAGCGGGCGTCAAACGGTTTCTGCCCTGCAACTGGGGGACGCCCTCGGCCCGTGGCGGTATTTTGGCGGTGAAAGACATCAAGGAAGAAATTCACGATTACATCTTCCAACACCGGCTGGGATATACCATCATTGACGTCGGCTTCTGGTATCAAGCGAGTCTGCCTCGGGTGCCGAGCGGCAAGTTCGACAGCGCCATCTTCATGCCGATCAATGATGTCTATGCCGGCGGAGTGACCCCAAACATGCTGACGGATGTCAGAGATGTAGGGAGAATCACGGCTGAGATTGTCAGGGACGAGCGAACGCTGAACCATCGAGTGATTGCGTACGGAGACGTCTTGAGCCAGAATGAAATCCACCAAATCATCGAGGACAAGACCGGGGAAAAGCTGCAGCTCTCTACGGTTGGAGAAGAAAATCCTATCTCCCGCTTCCGAGCTCGAGGCTGACCGATTCACAGAAGACGAATGACGAAGCTCAAGCAGCGCTGGAACAGGCAAAAGCAGCACTTGGAAGCAACTCGGATGAAAAGACCAACCGGTTCTTGTTGGCCGCGGCACAATATGCCGTCACCAAATATGTTCGAGGTGACAACACGCCCGAAAACGCCAGGTATTTGGGATACATCGACGCGAACGAGCTTTTCCCAGATTTCAAGTACAGAAGTTATGCAGAGTTCATCGACGAGGTGATTGCCGGGAAGATTGAGAGGCTTTACCAAGATGTGCAGATCTGGAAACCATCGTAGCATTTCGCTTGTTGATACAACAACGTTTCGAATCTGTCGGGTGCCATCAGTCCGGACTAAAAACTTTGATAGTCTCCTGTCATGTGAAATTGCATCATGTAGTCCTTAGGCCATCGTCTCAAAGTCCCATGTTCCGGCGGCTGCACTGTTCAACGGCGGCTGGTCCCCAGACCCTCTCATCAACATGTCGAAGAAGACAGTATCGAACCCTTGAAACGCCCAGTCATCCAAGCTGGCAGAAGCGTCGGGAAATATTTCGTGCTGCTCTTGAATAAAGACATCTTCTGGCGAGACTTGTTGAGCGTTGTCTGGGATCTGCTGTCCGCCAGATAGCGTATCGACTGTCGATCCGGCCGATGCTGGCTGTGAGACCTGGTCAGACCTCCTTTGGCCGCCGTCCCGCTGATCTGAATGTCGACGAGGCTCAGACACGTGGAGAGATCCAAGGCCCCCAATTGTAACACCGTCATGAAACATTCGAGGGTGCGATCCTTTGGACGGCGCCAGAGATGTGATTCCTTCCCGGGCAATCCGGACAGCGCCAACATACGGAATCTGGATGACCAAAACGTTGCTTTTGTCATGGTCTCCATCGTTCTCGGATGGCCGCTGGTGAGAATGAATTTTTCCCCGTGCATAACAACTGGCTTCAACCGCCAACAAATGCTTGAGTAGGGCCACACATTTCGCCGCAAGCATATCCTCGAAGATCTCCGACATGGACTTCATACATTCGAGAGCCCGCTCCACAGTAGCCCTGTCGCCTGCTCGTTGATGTGCGAGTAGATTGTGCGTTCCGTTATCCGAGTGGCTCGCAAAGTGGGCTAGAATCAACGTCATGCCTGCAATGAGTGCCATGAAGTCGCCCATCCGGCAGCAAGATGAGACTGAGCTGTAGGAGCGCATCGCAATCTGTCGAGTCAGGACCTCGCGGCTCGCGTTGACGCAGGCGATTCGGGAATACATGACCTGTGACGCATCGCAAGAGTAAAGCATGTGCGGCAAATGAAGTTGATTCAACAACGTGAAATAGCACATCAGATCCCAGGTTCGACGGATTTCCCGCAATGCCTCCTGGGAGTCTGATTTGAGACTGGCTAGGGTCGAAGGCCGCCAAAAGCTAGACGGGAGTTGTTCAGTCATCTCGATGAGGTCTCGATCGATCTGCCGTGTCATATCTAGCGCTAGCTGAGGATCCCTAATCTCGTTTCGTGCAAGAATGCTGGCGGCCACGTCCATGACGAGTGTAGGAAGAGTCTGCTGTTTGGTAGATGTCCTCGTAGAAGGAGGGGGAATGCTGGAGGGTAGACCTAGTAATAGAGACAGAAATCGTTCTATGGGCACAATGCAAGCCCACATCGCCCCAGCGTCAGGATCGTTCTGATCGTTGATAATCTTGCAGCGATGCTGGCCTCCTTGATGCAAACCTAGCAGCTGCGCGGTCATGACGGCACGCCGTATTGTCATCCAAGCCCTTCGAATGTTGCCACTATCAATATGGAAGAGCGCTTCGAGGATGATGTTTTCGAGGCCTTCGAGCGTACCTAACAGGGTATCATTAGTCGTGACCAAGCTGATTGCCGCCTCGGCAAGTTTCTCCATGGCGATATGGTGATGCTCGGTGAGGTCGGCTATGACTTGCTTTCGTGGGATGTGTTGCAGTGCCGTAGCCACCAGCAACATTTGCCTTGCCAACAGGACAGGATGGACGTCGGGTTCCGAGAGAGCTAATAACAATAGTTCAGTTTGGGTTGTTTCATTCTGCCTCAAGCATGAGAAGCGGTAGTTCGACTGAGATACTTCTCGTAGCAATATCTCAATATCACTTCGAGATGGAAGTGCGCCAAGGAGACCTTGAGTGATGTTCGCGAGTCTGTTTGAGGTCAAAATGGAAGCTTGAACAGACAGTAGGTTTGGGATTGGCGGCGACATCATTAGTTGGACGAGTTGGTCTCCATCTCCACGGTCTGTGAGATAGGCCTGCTTTGGGAGTGGATCAGTATGTGTTGCGCACAGTAGAGGTGAAAGTGATTGCGAACTTGTGGTCTCCGACGCAGATCTGACATCGGTGCCGATGAGACAGCACTGCTCGTTGCTGCCGCACAACCGACATCCCATACATCTGGGTCCGTACTATCACAAGATGTGTCGCCTAGCCTATCCTGTAACGGATGCTGTCCATCGATCAGACTGCTATTGTTGTTGGCTACGACGATTGAATCCTCGGGGATTTCTTGACTGATGCACTGCTTTCCTCGGTCGTGGCAATTGATACAGAGAGGATCGCCCGGAGAAGCGAAAATACATTTCACTTTCCTTCGTTTACAGTCCCAGCAGCTGTGCGTGCCCTTGCGGATTTTCCGTCGTTTGATCCTATTTTCGTCCGAGTGATGCACCATATTCGACGAGATTGTTGAAGCCCAACGCGCGGACAACTGGCTTCTCAGAACGTAGATGTGTTACATTCACCTGGGACGAGAAAGAGAGAGAGCGTAGATTTGTAACTCGGACCTAGAACCAAGAGACAAGCTGGCAGGGCTGGCTGCTTCCCCCGAAGTATTTCTCTTCGGCCGAATATTTGTGGAGCCTCCCACCAATCACGTGCGGTATATGGACATGATTATTCACCCCCCTGATATCTTCCCCCGAACCAACAACTGTCCCGCGAGATACTGTCCGTATCTCACTGACCCATGTTTGCGGACAACCAATTGAAAGGGTGGGCATACGAGCTCCGTAGAATGACCTGGACTTCGGCGAACCTCCCAACCCTTACATATGCTCTTCGGAGGAGTCGAAGGAGAGCCCAGGAAGCTTCGGGCGAATCAAGCATGTTCCTCCTCCCAGCAACCTGATCGACCCGACCGACGAGGTCAGCATAGAATGATTTCATAGAACAGGCTCGGAAATTGGCTTCCTATTGACGGATTGGGGTCATCGTCCCCATCAGTCTGAAAGGTATAACTGCGGTGGTGTCGCATCTTTACACACTGTTTGAACCATCAGTTAAATTCCCGCTTTCCCATACTAAATTCAATCATGGCTGCATCGCCGTTAGACTCGGAAAAGCCTTCGACCGATATTCAGCCATCTTCGAGTGGCACGGTTGCCATCTCAAGACCAGAAGAAGATGGTCCACAAGACGGAAACCTGGACGAGGCCCCCAAGCCTTCTGACGAGCATATGCATGGTATACGTCTAGCTGCAACAGCCGTTTCCCTCCTGCTAGGCATGTTT